GTTGTCAACACAACTAAATAAAATAGTCGAGAAAATAATATATGAGAGGTAGTAAGTGAGCATTATGTTGCGGAACTACGTTATTATGATTACATATAAAAATATATAACAAATTTGAAAATTATTTCTCAAGCAAAATAAAAATGGCGTGTATTACCTAATTTGATGATGACCCCCCCCCCACAATCACGCACACTGTCACTGTTACTACTGAACTTAGCACCAATAAACCCAACACCAAACTAAACTTTATACTTGGAAATAAAAACTACAGTCGATAATGAAACACGTGTTACGCCTTTAAAAGGCAGACTTAAAATTTATTTTTTTCAATTTTCAACAATGATTTTTTTCAATAAAGTTAGGGTTATAACTACCGTGTATGCAGATCACAAAGGCACTGTCGTCGCCATAATATAATTCGTAATATGCATTATTATCTTAAGAACTTTTATGTTCGTTATACTCGCATACGGCTTTCACGCTTCGACATTAATGCGTTTACTTCACTGGCCCACCTCAAAAATAAATGCTTCATTGTATGGTGTACAAGAAAAAACACAAAAAAACAAAAAACCACAAACAACGACTTACAACCTAGTTGGTCGCTGAAACATCACGCTTGTTTTTTGATGTTGGTGAAAAAATGGATTTATCCTGTTGAGGGACTTTTACAGACGCATTGTCGCCATTGTCCACATCATACAAAAAATACCTATTACGGAAGATCAAGATAGAGGTAGCGGTAGAGCCTAGTGGCTGCAGCTTATAGCTGTATAAAAAAAAATAATATTATAAAAAGAAATGAAGATCGTCATTTTATAGCGGCCGCCAGTTCGGAACACAAGATCGTGTTTGTCATGCACGCCGAACGCCCCGCCCCGTATGACGCTATCCACTAAGCCTTACCCGTAGGCTAAACATACTTAAATAAAACCGGCCAAGAGCGTGTCGGGCCACGCTCAGTGTAGGGTTCCGTAGTTTCTCGTCCGTCACAATAAGTGTTCCCACTTATGAGTTTAAAGGTGGGTATCCATTATGTTCGCGCTCCAGCAGCGCAGCGTGGGTACTGTTGTTTCCATCCAAGCTCAAAATGATTTTCCTAGAAAGTCCTTATAAAGTTCTACTTTTCAGATTTTTTTCATATTTTCTAAACTTATGGTTCAAAAGTTAGAGGGGGGGGGGGGGACACACATTGTTTTTTACTTTTGGAGCGATTATTTCCGAAATTATTGATATTATCAAAAAATGATTAGTACCCCTATTCATTTTTAAATACCTTTCCAACAATATATCACACGTTAGGGTTGAAATTAAAAAAAAAATCACTTCCCACTTTACATATAGGGGGGCTACCCTAATTAAACATTTTTTTCCATTTTTATTTTACCACTTTGACGGCGTGATTGATACACATATTGGTACCAAATTTCATCTGTCTACGGTCACGATTAGCGAGGACGGACAGACGGACAGACAGACATGGCGAAACTATAAGGGTTCCTAGTTGACTACGGAACCCTAAAAATCGAAGTATATGTTTATTAAAATAAAAATTTTGGTCCTATTTTTAATGTAGGTATGTATATTTTATGACTATTTACGTATATAGGTATTTTTCTCACAAATTATATAATTTGTTGACGTTAATTTAAAAATGTACAATCATAAAAACAACAACTACATCTATTATATACATCCACGTTTTAGTGATGTAGTATTTATTTAATTTATTGAACCGGTCTTAATTGTGACGAGAATTCCGTTTAAATTGGGTATCATCGATGCTTTTATGTTTAACGACGGAAGCTATAACCAGTTATTAGAAGTTAACCGCAACAGCAAACGAGAGATTAGTAATATTGCGATTTGATTTAAATAAAATAGAGACATTAATATAACAGCAAATTAGTTACCGCCTATAAAAGCCTTTTTTCATATTGTGTGATAACGCACAGAAGAAACGTTGCAGATCCTTCTACCCATATGTTGAGCCTATATGGTTTATCACGATAAGCGTTAACAATAAAAAAAGAAAAAAATATAACACACATTAACTTTCATTTTTGGAAAATTAATAGAAATTTTAAAATTCCTCCACGCTTTTTGGTCCATAATTTTATATTCCACTACTTAAAATATTAGCTGTGTTTATACCACAGAAATTGTAATAGGTACTATTTCTGTGGTTTACACGTACTTACGTATTGATGTATTATACCTACAAATAAAGTTTGTATATGTTTTGTCTCGCCTACCTCGACAAAACAATTTGATTATTATCATTTAAAAACTCTAAGTGCGTAATGAGTATGTTTAAGTTTTCATTTAAAAAAATATATATATAAGTCTGTTTTAAATGTTAAATTTACATCAGGTTATGAAATGGGACTAAAATCGTCAAGAGAGAAATGCAACGCACAGATACTATTCCGTGCGGCCACCATTCATTAACTAATTACCTACTCATCGACGATATAGGTAAAGGTTAAGCTAGAACCTAAACTGTCCCCTAAATCAAACCCTTAAGACGCGGTGAATAGACGACTTTTATGTACTAGAGGGGGTGAAGCAGATGAGTGGGGGACGAGTAGTCTCGCTCACTTGATTTGTTGATTGGTAAAGTTTTTACCTATACATAACTGTATTTTTACTATTAGGTATGAGTCAGTGCTTATAATAAGTAGTAAATGAAAAATTAAAATAAAACATTGTCAGATAAATATTTCAGTGACAGACACGCAGACACCGATGTAATTCCATACGTGTTCTGTTTTAGTAGATAAATTTGGCACAGAACATTAATTAAAACATTTTCTGACAGCCTTTGAACAACGCGCCCAAAAATGGCAAGCACAAGTAAAACTTCAAAAACTTAACGTTGCCTACACACAAATCGAACTAAATGAGGATTTCTTATATTTACACGAACACTACACATTTAAATAAAACGTTTTTGCGGATTTTATCGCATATATTAACTTATTTTATAACTAAATATACACGATAAAATCTCACCCCCCCCTCACCCCCACCCCCTTGACCGTCGGTGTTAGTGCTCAAAACGTCGGGAACATAAAATAAGTTAATATACGCGATCTAATGCGTAAAAAATAGTTTTATTTTAAATAACTAAATGAACTAATGTAGAAGTATCTACCTCGGCTGAAAGAGTTTTGCGTGCGCTTGACGTTCGTGCCTACAGACGACGATTTAATTGTACGAAGAAAAGAAATTCCTCTCTCTTCATTGTACGTTTATTACAAATACATTTATTAATTAAATTCGCAGCTCATGAAACGTCTTTTAAAAATGATCAAAGTATTCTTTTTCGAGTCCAGAATAATAATTTTTTTAACTGTTCTTTGAAAAAATTTAAGAATTAACTACTATTAAGAAAAGTCGCCGAATTACGTATATATGAATTAATTCTTGCTGGCAAAATTTCCCAATACTTAAAAAAATATTAAAAAAAAGAGATTTTTACATGTGAAGTTCAGATTCAAACTCGGCACACGTGTGAATAGCTTTGCAATTTTTTTTTAATTCCTTTGCTTCATTTAAATCGTATCTGTACTTTTAATGAAGTTTATTGCTATTAGTGAATTGAAAACAAAAAACGAATTGTGAATATCCGTAAGAGTCTTGTTGTTAACTACTTTCCACTACACTAACACGTTGTTCTCAAGTTCATCGGCGTTCTACATATTTTAAAACTTTATAGGGAAGAGCAGCAAGACGAGTAACTAGTTCGTTCCATTCATACGAGTGATGTGCTGCGAGATAATTAATTGTTGCGTTAACACGTTACAACGAAAGTTAACACGAGCAATTATACTGTTAAGGGACAAGCGTATTCTGGCGCCGTACATTGTAATTAACGATTCAATAAGTGCACTGCAATTACATATGTCCAGTTTCGCAGTGCGCCATCTAAATGGATATGTGCGTAATGTACCGTACTATAATAAACTCAATAACCATTTTGACAGATGCGATAATATGGTACGTGGGGGTAATATGGTCTTTCGGTTAATATGGTCACTTTCTTATAACTCAAAAACTTCAGCCTTGTTTGCATAAATGGCTTTGTGATAGCTCTTCATCAGTCAATCAAATAATAAAGGGTGAAAAGGGTGATGATTCATAGAAGCCATTTTACAGTTGTTATTATAGTAAATATTTTAGTCCATATTAGTATGGTGTAGTGTAGTTATTTTTTCTAAGTAGAGTTTTTGAATTCTTCCTAATTATTGTCAAAGCTTGTTTGCTAGTTTTTCTTAATATGCATTTCCGGTTGATTATTTATACTTATACTTACATGTAATATTACTATTGAGAGTAGGAAATATGATGATCTATGACAAACATCAATAACTTTTTCAAATTTTTACAGTACCTACTTAAAAATATTTTAATTCAAAAAATGCAAGAAATGTAATCAACACTATGCATGTCACAGTATGACAAATATTTTCTTAACTTAGCATAGATAACGTCTACGTTACTATGGGAAAGCTTTAAAAAATAATGTTAAAAAAGTAAGTACCTAAGTAAGTAAGTTAAGTAAGAAGAACCTTACCTTACGAAAGCTTTTAATGCTGGAAATTATTATAGATTTACAATGAAGAATTGGTTAGTGAAACTTTAAAAATATTGCTCGTTTAGAGAAAACTGACCTTTATTTGATAAACCTTTGTTTTTGTTTTACGTTGTAACTTTTCACTCTTTTTCTATATTCCTCAAAATAAATTTTAATAATATGAAAGGCTTGATACGAGTATACTTTCTAACTTTCATTAATCTGTATAAACCTATTTTATTTATCAAAGTTTGAACTTTTAATACCTACTTGTAATATGTTAATTAACGCTATTCAAAAATGTACTACAATTATTTTTAACCTACTCCTTACGTATTCCACAATCACCCGAACACAGGTGAAGCTTCATAACGCCCTCTTAGCGTACGGGGGCTAAAAATATCGTAATACAATTTACCTCCTATATCGTAGCGCGAAGTGGCAACGTCGCGTCGCGTGGCGTTAAGATTCGCCGCCGAACAGTTACAATACGCATTCAACTGTTGGAAATTTGAACGCGGCACTGCTCGGGCTCGGTCGACATCTGTGGGGGCGACTGTGCTGTGTTGCCACGCCTCCAACACTGTACTCGCCAATCCAACTGCCGAACTAGACGACCGCAGCATGAAATTCGAACCGCTACGTGGTATTTTTGTCTCACTCATCATGAGTGGGTAGAGTCTATAAAAAACGAGATGACTTGACTATGATGGTTCGGTGCTATTTCGTGTCAAAGTATTATGTCGTTGCCAAAAAGGTTCTAAAACCAGCATATGGTTATATTATTAAGACACTAGTTTCGTGGTACTTAAGGTTGATTGTTTAAAATTCCATATTGAGCTAAAATCAAGATTTCATAAGCGTTCAAAAGTAAATATACATCATTCAATTTGCGCCCCAACATCGATTACATTTGAGCTTCTCTCGTTTGATATTCTTGTAGAATCAAGCTTGTCGATACTTAAATTTTTGCCTTTTTCGTAGTCCCATTTTTCTTACAATTTATTTTTTATTTGATCTATAAACATATAATAGGTACCCATTACATGGAAATCCGTATTCTGTCAAGATAAAATTATATTTTATTGTGATTCGTAACGTTCTCAAAAGCATTTATGTTTTAATTAAAAATGCCCTAAATAAAAAATCTAACTGAGTTGAAAATGCCTTGCTAGGAGCGATTTACGAATGACGGACAGGTTCGAACCTGATACTTATTAGTTTCAAAAAGTAATAAAATATTTTATAAAATATTAACATTTTGACAATTACATACGATATCATCTAATGAACATCAAATCTGTTTTAGCAACGTTCATAACAAGATAATAAGATTTTTAGAACAACCCGAATATATTAATATAAAGAGAGGATGAAATAAAATATAGGTACTATTTAACTGCATTATATTACATCGAATATTAATTATTTTGAATCTAATGCGGATATATTATTCTTTATGGATTCCATCACGCAGAGATACTCTTAGTATTATTAGCTAGCATCATAGATCGTTACTAAGCTTACTCATACGACCAGCCAGCAGGGAAAAAAACTCGGCTCTCGGCTTTATAAGTCATAACTAGCAGCACCAACTGCTACACATAGATAATACTAATTAACTGTGTGTAGTAATAAATACGATATTTGATTATATTTTATGATGTTACAATAGCTAATAAAATTTACAGCTCGGTTATCCTACTGTTAACTTCTTGTCATTGAGAATAAAGAACATTGCCCCCAGACGAAGCATCATGAAATAGTAAATTTTATTTATCATGAAATAATAAATTAAACGAAACAAAAGAATATAAAACTTCTTTACTCAAATTTCAAAATAATCAAATACCTTGGAATATTGTATTAAACATTTGAAGACATAAGTGGATGAAGGTGATATGTCGCATTTTCAGGTGTTGGTGTTTTTTTCTTAGATGAAGGTGATATGTCGTTATAAAATGATTTTAGACCCTAAAACTATCTATTTAAGACGTATTTCAAAAATAGAAGTTTGATAAAGGTGTTATGTTCAGTCTAGTTTGAAAATAGTACTGGATGAAAGAGGTATGAGCCCATATCACTACCTTCTTGATAAATAAAGAAAAAGTTTTGTTTTTTTTTGTCGTGGAAGAAAGTGACGTACGAACATAATACTTTCTTCCACTCAGCGAACGATAGTCGAATGATACGACATCACTTCTCCGTGAATGAAGGTGTTATGTAACGTACATAGCACCTTCATTCGTTACCACATCACCATACCATGCCATCACATCCATATACCTACGCATGCATGCTCGTCGTTTAAGGGTACTCCTAATTTGGCCTGTTTTCAATATATCGCCAATATGGTCGATAAACTTTCGCCTAGGACGTCCCTTTCCGACTCTTCCGTTCACTTCAGCAACATAAATTTTCTTTGTCACTCTTTCCTCATTCTTTCTTTCCACATGACCAAACCACCGAAACATTCCTTTCTTAATCCTGGTCATAATATCATCTTGCAAACCTCACTCTTCTCTTATCACACAATTTCTCACCCTGTCATTCAGGTTCAGCCCTAACATACTCCTTAATGACCGCATTTCTACTGCGTTTATTCTACTCTCGTGCTTCTTCTGCCATACTCAACTTTCACTACCATACGTTAAAGTAGGGACCAACACAGCATTGTGAATTACCATACGTGGCTTTGGTAATACATTTTGACATATTCTGACTCTTCACATAGAGTGTAGGGCCACATTTACTCTATTTCCTGCGTTCACTCGTCGTTCTATATCCTTATCATATCTCCCATCCCTGCTAAATACGCATATCAAATATACAAACTCATCTACTTACTCGATCAACTGATAGAAACGATAGAAAAAGTCCTTAGGAAACACGATACAGTTTTTGTTATTGAACAATACAGAAATATAATTTGTAAAGCTTCCCGAAATAATACAGTTATTGATATGAGCGCGCATTTCAGAAAAATTGGTGAGTTACAGGAAAAACTTAATTTGTTTAACAGAAAAAAGATGTAAACAATGACAAAGTAAGTTTTAGGGAATGTATTAAATTGATACGCGTAAATTAATATATGGTTCCTACCTATATAAAGAAACGTACGATGAAATGACACCCTTCAAAAAGTTGGACATTTTAAAAAAAAGATCTCAATTGCAGGAGATTCCGCGTACGAACGGAAAATATGGTACCGTATAAGTGGAAAAAAAAAGAAAAAGAAAATTATTTTGATCTGTTTTATTTTACTGTCAAGACTGATCTCTGTTTTATTAACTTTCGTTTCTATTTATAAAGTTTTAAGGAATATTTAAGTAATGCTTGTCTTTTTGTATTACTTTAAGTACATAATGTTATTTAACACCTAATTTGAAATAGCTAAAATGCCAAAATGTTTTTAAAATGTTAGTGAAAGAAAGAGTTATGTTCAGCTTTTTTCGAAATTAAGTATTAAAAGTGTTTAATTGCTCACGTACCCTAATTTTTTAAGTTTGTTTACCCAACTTTGCATTATAGTTTAAATCAAAAACCAATTTTTCTAACAACTTATCTCAAAAAACAATAGTGAAACTTCAATCTTGATTTACTCAAAACTAGTAGAATGCGAGTTATCACTTTCATCCACTCACGACTTCATTTATTTCGTAATTATTGCTGGTAGGTATAGATGACATTTTCGAGCAAACACGCCCACTTCAATGTAAAATCAAATTTTAAATGTGTTATGTTAGTGACATAAAATATCGCAAACTATCGTCCTAAGACCTTAAAGTCTCCTATTATATAATTATCAATTTTCACTAATAATAACACAATGAAATACTTTTTTTTGACAAAAATAGTCAAAAAATAAGCATATGCCGGCGAATTGTTAAGTACTAGATGATGCAATAACATGACAAATTGCGGAGGAGCGAAGGGAAGGGCTCGGCGCTAATCCCGCTCGCTCTACGGTAACATTGATTGTGTTAATGTTAATGTATGTCAAAAGAAAAATACCCAATAGGTACCTAGGTACATTAACTGATTATTACTAAAACATGTGAAGAGGTTACCTTTTTTACATGGGGAAATGCCTACGCATACCCGCCCCCGGGTGCAAGGATGAGTTATGTCGGACTCGCGCCGACTAAAACCCCATGGTGTTCCACCTTCGTCGCATATTGGCAGAGCCACGGGAACGCTTTTGCAAACATCCGCGCCCCCTCCAGCGCTGGCCGCCCCATGACGGTGCCTCCTCGGGAGAGGACTGAGAAGTAGTCCTCTTAGTCCTCTCCCTCTTCTTCTTCTCAGGCAAGGCGCACCGGAACACATGGCGCGCCTTCCTCTGAGGCCTCCATTTTCACGTGCGCAACAGACGCTCCCGTATTCGCGAAGGCCATGGGGCTAGAAAAACGAGCACTCATAAGCACTAGCCTTCCTGACCATGTGAAGTACCTATTGTGATCGCTGCTTCACCTGTTAAATAAGTGATTTATATTAAATTTTCTTACTTAATATTGCATTAAGTAAGAAATAAAAATAGATAGAAATATGAACTGGAGTAGCCATATAGAACTGGTATGTAATAAATTAAGAGGTATTTTAAGTAAATTCTATTTTTTGAAGAAAGTAACACCTAAAAATGTACTGTATGTTGTATATTACGCACTAGTTGAGTCAACGTTACAATATGTATTAGTAGCATATGGAAGGACATTTAAAACATATTTCGATAAATTGAAGCAGTTTCAAATTAGATTCATAAAATATTAGTGAACCCAAAAGCTAAATTAATATATAGGGATAATTATGAGCAGCTCTTCCAGGAGTGTAATTTAATACCGATACATGAGCAATTTAAAATATCATTTGCGACATGTGAAAAGTATTATACAATCTTATGTGACGCATTGCGTAGTTTTATCCCCATAAATAAGAATACGCGCAGACCACATAAAGTAATAACTTTACAATATAAATGTGCTAATTATTATGGTAAAAGAACGTTCCAACATTTAGTAGCAAAAATTTATAACAATTTACCCCATGAATGCCTTACGCATAAATCAAAACAACATTTTAAAAATAAGTTAAAAAAACTTTATACTAATAAAAAATAAAAATGGAATGTATCATGACGATCCATTGTACAACATCACAGGTAAGCTGTAATATTTAGGTATGCATATATTTGTACGCATGTATGTATATATATGTGCAAGCGTACATGCAAAATTTATGCATATATGAAAAATGCCGTTATCCTTTAAATTATTGAATAATGTTATAGTAATACTATTGGATTGTCATATTAGTGGTAGTATAATTGTGTTAAGCTAGTTCTTTTTTTTTCTTTTTTTGCATGTTAGAAAGTAAGAGAGCATTTTTTCTGCCAACAAACTGCTGAGCAGTTTGGCAGACTGTAAAAATAACTAATTATGTTTTTTCATGTTAAATAAATATAAATAAAATAAAAAATAAATTATAATCATTTATTTACATGAAAATTAAGTATACAATACTTACCTACTTATTATCACAATAAAAAAAAACTGAAACTAAAAACTTAAATTATCCTACAGTGGTACAGTGCCAAGCAAGCTGGTTGCGTTTCCTCGTTGAATGGAGT